AATTAGTCACATTAATTGCGAAAAATTTCTGCAATAATTTATTAAGTTATTGGAATATTAGATTTGTTTATTATGTAAAGTTGTTATTCTGTTTTGAGTAGTTAATTTTCTTGTGTTAGTTGGTGTAAGTTGTTATTTTTAGTTTAGCACTTTATCTCATATATAGCGTTTCTCCAGCTGTATATATATATGAGTTTCCCGTTGTAATTGATAAAATTAATTTTTCCCTCTTTCAATAACATCTTCTTCATTCTCTCTGCTTCGTTTTTCTTCCCCAAAGCTCCAATGGAGTTTTCCAGATTCTAACATGGTATCAGATTAAATTCGTTTTTTTCCAATTTCGTTCGCTCTCTGCTCTTCCGCATTTCAGTTTACTCTGCAATTCGATTGCTATGGCTCCATCACGATCGCCATTAGATGATGCTTCCAGTGCGTATTTCATCCATCCATCCGACGGACCGAATTTGATTCTCGTCTCCCAGCCTCTCAGTGAAGATAACTATGCCTCCTGGGCTAGGGCAATGACAATTTCTCTCACGGTCAAGAACAAAGTTGGATTCGTTGATGGCGCGATTTCTGATCCAGGCGATGATGACCTAATTTTGCGAAATGCTTGGATTCGAAATAATAATATGGTAATGTCTTGGATTATCAATGCCGTTTCGAAGGACATTCAAGGTAGTATAATGTATTCTTCATCGGCGAAAGAAATTTGGGATGATTTGAAGACTCGATTCTCTCAAACCAATGGCCCTCGCATTTTCCAATTGAGACGTGATCTAGCCAATCTTTCTCAAGGTCATCAATCTGTCAACGTCTATTTTACCAAAGTAAAGGCAATTTGGGACGAATTGGCCAATTTTCGCCCTGCATGTTCTTGTGGAAAATGTGATTGTGGGGGTCTAGATCGGTTAAGTGCTCATTACAATCAAGAGTATGTTATGAGTTTCCTCATGGGTCTTAATGATAATCTTGCACAGACAAGAGGTCAAATTCTACTTATGGACCCTCTTCCCTCGATAAGCAAGGTGTTTTCCTTTGTCTCTCAAGAAGAGAGACAAATATCTGTGACTGCTATCAACCCTGACTCAAGTGCAGCTTTTGCTATCAAAACCGATGGTTTTAGAAGGCAGATAAATAATCAGTTCTACAGCACTGGACCAAAGAGAAAAGAGCGGGGTTATTGTACTCATTGCAACATGCATGGTCACACTGTGGAAAAATGTTACAAGATTCATGGTTATCCACCGGCATACAAAGCAAAACCTCGATTTCAGACTTCAAATGTGAATCAGGTCTCCAGCTATGAAACACCCTTGGATGATCTGCATCAATCTGCTCAAGCCATCACTGATGGTTTTTTCAAGAACATGACACCCGTTCAATGTCAACAGTTCCTTAATATGGTAAATTCTCAAATGATTTACCAACAACAATCAGGTGCTTCCAATCAGCAACAGGCTGTTTCATCTTCTGGTTTGGAAACAGCTACTGTTTCTTGCGTTTCAGGTATGAAAGGTATATGTGCTCTTTCCATGTCTTCTCAATTATTACCTCATTTTTGGATTATGGACTCTGGAGCTTATAAACATATATGCAATAATAGAAAATACTTCATCAATATGAAAGCTGTTAACAATGCCAGAGTTATTTTACCTGATTCCACTGTTTTTCAGGTGCCATTTATAGGTGATATTCAGTTGAATTCTAAAATTCTGCTCAAAAATGTTTTCTATGCTCCTACTTTCCATTTTAATTTGTTATCTGTTGGTATGCTTCTTGACCATACTTTTGGTCATGTTAATTTCACAACTCAATCTTTCATGATACAGGACAAGTTGTTGAAGATGATTGGCAAGGGTAGAAAAGTTGAGGGTCTATATGTATTGGACTCAGAGCAGTTTACACATATTTCTAGTCCAGTTCCCATGTATAATCAAACTGGTTTTTGTAATAAAGTTTCTGCTGTTATTTGGCATAAAAGGCTTGGTCATATTCCCTTTAAGAAATTGGCTGTTTTGAAAAACACTATTGGTTTTTCTGCTGTAAACTCTGAGTCTGTTGATACTTGTTGTCATGTATGTCCTATTGCTAAGCAGAAAAGACTTCCTTTTATTTCTAATAATAACTTCTCTTCTCAAGTTTTTGATCTTATACACTGTGATCTCTGGGGTCCATACAAAGTTGAATCTTATAATGGTCATAGATTCTTTATTACCCTTGTTGATGACTGTTCCAGGTTTACTTGGGTGCACATGATCAAAGCAAAGTCTGATGCACTGACTGTGATTCCAAGTTTCATTAAAATGGTTCAGACTCAGTTTGGTAAGACTATTAAAGTTTTTAGATCAGATAATGCTCCTGAGCTGTCTTTTACCTCTTTATTTTCTAATCTTGGTATTATGCATCAATTTTCATGTGTGCAAACTCCTCAGCAAAATGCTGTGGTTGAGAGGAAACATCAACACATTTTAAATGTGGCTAGATCATTATTTTTTGAATCAAAAGTTCCTATTGAGTATTGGAATGAGTGTGTTCTTTCTGCTGTTTATCTCATTAACAGAACTCCTGCCAAGAATCTAAATAATAATACTCCTTATGCTATTCTATATCCTGATAATCCTTTTAAATATGATAGTTTAAAAGTTTTTGGTTGCCTTGTGTTTGCATCTACTTTACAGGCTGGTAGAGATAAATTTCAACCTAGAAGTAGATTATGTGTGTTCCTTGGTTATCATACTGGTGTTAAAGGGTATAAATTACTGGATTTTCACTCTAGGGAAGTTTTTTTGTCTAGAGATGTGGTTTTCCATGAAGATAAATTTCCTTTTTCCTCTGTTTCCTCTCATCATTCTTTTGATGATGTTTGCAAGGATGATTCTCATGTGGTTCTCCCCAGTTCTGGTCTTTTAGCCTCAGATAACACTGAATCTTGTTATAATTCTTCTATGGATGTTGTTGATTCCATCTCTGATTCTGATCAGACCAGTTCTGAGCCTATTGGCCCTGCTCTAAGAAGAACCTCTAGGCAGATCAAGGCTCCTTCTTATTTGGCTGATTATACTTGTAATGCTGTGGGCACTTTGTCTAAATATCCTATCAATGCAGTAGTTTCTTATGATAAACTTTCTACTTCTTTTAAACATTTTGTTCTTAATGTAGCCAGTGAAAGTGAGCCACACACATATAGACAGGCTGCTAAGCATGATCATTGGGTACAAGCCATGTCAGAAGAACTTCAGGCTCTTGAACACAACAAGACTTGGTCTGTTGTACCTTTGCCAGCAGATAAACACTCCATCAGCTGTAAATGGGTGTTTAAAATCAAAAGGAAACAGGATGGCTCTGTAGATAGATATAAAGCCAGGTTAGTAGCTAGAGGTTTTAGTCAACAGGAGGGTATAGATTACATTGATACTTTTTCTCCTGTTGTTAAACTAGTTACTGTTAAACTTTTGCTTGCATAAGCTGCATCTCATCATTGGGAATTGCATCAGTTAGATGTCAATAATGCTTTTTTAAATGGTGATTTAAATGAGGAAGTTTATATGGATCTTCCTCCAGGATATATTCCTTCTGCTGATAGTTCTAGTTCATTATCTCTTGTGTGCAAGCTTCATAAGTCTTTATATGGTTTAAAACAAGCTTCTAGGCAGTGGAATGCTAAGTTTACAGAGGCTATTCTTGATTTGGGTTTTACTCAATCTTTGTCTGATTACTCTTTGTTTACCAGAGGTTCTGGTTCTGCTTTTATTGCTCTTTTGGTTTATGTTGATGATATGGTTATTGCTGGTCCTAGTTCTGCCAATATAGCTGGTTTAAAAGTTGATCTTGCAAATAAATTTCAATTGAAAGATCTTGGTTCCATGAAATATTTTCTTGGGATTGAGGTTGCTAAATCCCAGTCTGGTATTTCTATTTCTCAAAGGCAGTATACTTTGAATCTCCTTAAAGATACTAGATATACAGATTGCAAGCCTGCTACACTGCCTATGCTTCCAAAGATCAAGCTTAATTCAGAAGATGGGGAGCTTCTTTCAGATCCTTCCTCTTATAGGAAATTAATTGGCAGACTGCTTTATCTCACTCTCACCAGACCTGACATCACCTTTGCTGTGCATAAGCTGAGCCAGTTTGTAGCCCAGCCTCGTACTCCACATCTGGAAGCTGTCCATCATGTTCTGAGATATTTGAAAGCAGCTCCTGGACAAGGCCTCTTTTATTCTTCTACTTCAGACAATGTTTTAAAAGGTTTTTCAGATGCTGATTGGGGTTCTTGTTTGATTCCAGAAAGTCTACTACTGGTTATTGTGTATTTTTTGGTGATTCTCTCATTTCTTGGAAGTCCAAGAAACAAGCTACTGTGGCTAGGTCTTCTGCTGAAGCAGAATACAGGGCTCTTGCCTCTACTTCTAGTGAGCTGGTCTGGATTCTTCAGCTTCTCAAGGATTTTCATGTTGTGCCTGCCTCTACTTTGTTATTCTGTGATAATTTAGCTGCAGTGCATATTGCTTCCAATCCAACGTTTCATGAACGGACTAAGCATATAGAAATTGATTGCCATTTTGTCCGGACTCAAGTCACTCTTAAAAAGCTTCGGCTTATGCCTGTTCGAGGTTCTGATCAGATTGCAGATGTGCTCACAAAGGCTTTGCCTCTTCCCGCTTTGTCTTATCTCTTGTCCAAGATGGCCTTTCTCAACATTTATACCAGTCCATCTTAGGGGGGAATATTGGAATATTAGATTTGTTTATTATGTAAAGTTGTTATTCTGTTTTGAGTAGTTAATTTTCTTGTGTTAGTTGGTGTAAGTTGTTATTTTTAGTTTAGCACTTTATCTCATATATAGCGTTTCTCCAGCTGTATATATATATGAGTTTCCCGTTGTAATTGATAAAATTAATTTTTCCCTCTTTCAATAACATCTTCTTCATTCTCTCTGCTTCGTTTTTCTTCCCCAAAGCTCCAATGGAGTTTTCCAGATTCTAACATAAGTCAAAATGATAAATCACCAGACGCTCGTTGCAAAAGCCATAGCTGGTGAAGCAGGTGTTCCGTTTTATCAAATGGCTGGTTCGGAATTCGTTGAAGTGTTAGTTGGTGTCGGTTCTGCTCGTGTCAGAGATTTGTTCAAGAGAGCAAAGGTATCCGAAACTTTATACTCGTGATTTAGTTTTTTAGTTTTTTTTTTTTTTTTTTCGGATCATTGAAACGAAATATAATTTATATTTTATTTTATTTTATTTTATAGGTAAACAAACCATCTGTCATTTTTATCGACGAAATTGATGCACTTGCGACAAGGTATGGTTGTTCTAGCAAGTTTTCGATTCAAGTATTTTTTTTGCGATTTTAGTCAATTCTTTCGATTGGTATACAGACGGCAAGGAATATTCAAAGAATCTACGGATCTCCTTTACAATGCGGCAACTCAAGAAAGAGAGACTACATTGAACCAGCTCTTAATCGAACTAGACGGATTCGATACAGGCAAAGGTGTTATATTCTTGCTCGATCCTGCCCTTCTCCGCCCTGGTCGGTTCGATCGAAAGGTACGTTTATTAATTAAAATATTTAATTATCAGAAATTCAGAAATTCGTTTGAAATGTTTATTAATTGCTAATTATCTAGATAAGAATCCAACCTCCAAATGCAAAAGGTAGATTGGACATTTTGAAAGTTCACGCACGGAAGGTGAAATTGTCCGATACCGTCGATTTGTCTAGTTACGCAAACAACTTGCCAGGTGTCCATTTTCGAGTTTTTCATTTTTTTCGACAAATTTTATAAAAAATGTCGAATTAAAAGATTAGTATAAAAATAATGGTAAATTAGGATGGACGGGTGCCAAGCTGGCACAGCTTCTCCAAGAAGCTGCTCTTGTGGCGGTCAGAAAAGGCCACTCCGCTATTCTTCACTCGGATTTGGACGATGTGGTTGACCGTCTCACTGTGGGCCCCAAGCGTGTGGGAGTTGACTTAGGTCATCAAGGTCAACTCCGGAGAGCTACCGTAGAAGTAGGGACCGCTTTGACTTCTCATTTGCTTAGGCGGATCGAGAATGCGAATGTCGAGCTTTGTGATCGTGTATCAATTCATCCTCGTGGACAGGTTTTTTTTTCCCCCCCCTTTTAGTTTCTTTGATTTATCTTAGGCCTCGTTTGGTTCATAAGTTAAGATTAAAATAATCTAATGAAATACCCAATTGTATTTATTGGACCATGGGAGGTTTGATAAATAATCTCCCTAAAATACGTGATAGACCATGATAAAATAATTAGGGTAAAGTTCAATTTACCTACCTGAACTATACCCAAGGTGTAAAATACCCCCCTAAACTTCAAAATGAACCAAAACAACCCACATTTTATGTGGTCAACGTTAAAAAACTTAACACCGTTAGTTTTACATCAAAACCGTTAGTTTTGTTGGGGTTTTACGCTTTTGCCCTTAAAACTTCTTCTTCCTCCCTTCTCCCCTCCCTTCTGGCCTTTCTTCTTCTTCGTAATTTTTCTTTTTCTTTCTTTATTTCTCCCTTTTTATTTCTTCTGATTCAAAAACTGGATTAAAAAGCTGTTTGAATTCTTACACTTTATATATATATATATCAACAAATAGATATTCTGTTCATTTACTAGTTTACGCAATTGAATTACTACTTTTATCCATAAATCAACCACATGCGACTTGGGCTGTGGAATGAGGCGGCAGAGTCGATGGCGGAGATGTCGGTGGTGGTTAATCGGAATAGAAGCGGCGGCGACGCGGCGGAGTTTCTTCGGGTCAGTTTCATTGGGCCGCACAGGTGGAGTTTCCTCTTCTTCGATTTTTTCTATGGAAATCGAATTTCTCTATATTAAATTCCGACGAAGTAGCTAGATTTCCAATAGATGATGGGGACGACGTGAATTCTGGTGGGTCGGACAATAAGATGATGACTTTTTTTTTTTTTTTCAAACATGCGGAGGAAGAGGTCTGCTGATGGTGGAGGCGTCCAGGAAAGATTTTTTTGGAGAAAATGCAATCAGGTCCCTAAACTTTAACATGAATTGCAGTCTGGCCTCTATTTCTCTTTTTGCAGTTTATTCATAAACATTTATATTCAACAGAGGGGTAAACTTGTCCAACATATACAACAGCTGGAATAAAGATTATAACCCAAAAAAGTCAATATGCCACATCAGCAAAAGTGGACGGATTTTTAATGGAGGGGCTGTTTTGATTCGTTTCAAAGTTTAGGGGTTTTTCTATACGTTGGGTATAGTTCAGGTAAGTAAATTGAAGTTTACCCAAATAATTATTTTCCGGGTCGACCCGGAAAATCATTGGGTTTACCAAACATTTAACGAAGTCCAGTTTTTTAATAAATCATGGCTAATCTCTCCCAACCAAACGAGGCCTTAATGAATTAAGAATTTTCTCGTGCAGACACTCTCGCAAGTCGTGTTTCACCGTTTTGATGATGAGTCGTACGTGTTTGAGCGAAGGCCTCAGTTATTACACCGTCTCCAGGTTTGATATTTGCAGTTTTTGAAGCTGTTTTCGTCCGTATTTTTTAGTATGCATTCAAATAAAGGTATTCAATTTTTTTTATTTTTTTATTTAATTTTTTTTTATTTAATGAAGGTATTACTTGGAGGCAGAGCTGCCGAAGAGGTTATCTTCGGACGGGATACTTCGAGAGCATCGGTCGATTATCTAGCCGACGCCTCGTGGCTCGCTCGAAAGATTATTTCAATGTATGTTTTTCATCTTTTTCTACATTTATTATTATTACAATTATTTATTTTATGAAATTAATTTCGGTTTATCTTTTACGATAGATGGAATATGGAGAACCCTATGGTGGTCCACGGTGAACCCCCACCGTGGAGAAAAAGACCTAAATTTGTTGGTCCGAAGATTGACTTTGAGGGTTCGCTTTACGATGACTACGATTTAATCGAGCCACCGGTTAATTTCAAATTAGACGATGATATTGCAAAGAGGACGGAAAAATTGATGCATGAAATGTACGGAAAGACAGTTTCTCTTCTTAGGCAACACAATGCGGCTTTACTAAAGACTGTTAAGGTATGGTTTTTTCGAAGGCTGCAGATATTTGCAAGACGAAAATTACTAAGTGCAAGACCTTACTTCATGCAAGACCAAAATATAAATAAATTTACTAAGATCAAGACTGGAAATTACAAATATAACCCCAATAATAATTTAGATATTATTAATTTAAATTAAGTTAATTGCTATTGCAAGACCAAAAAAAAAATACAAAAAAAAGAATAAAAAAAAAAAGAAAAAAGAGAGGGAACTCACTCACCCAACAAAACACCAACATCTTCTTCTTCACCCTTATTTTACACATTTTTTTCCACAAAAAAATCTTCCATATTCTCCAAAACCCTTATCACATAAAACCCTCAAATCTTACTAAAACTTGAAAAGAAGGACATTATGGATACACAAGACATAAATATGGAGGATTCTAAGGTCGAAGAACACAAAGATGTAAGAAATATTGTACTTTGTGATCGTTTTTCTCGTTTTTCGCACCTCATTTCACGTACAAAAAAATCGACATGTACAGGTCGAAATATCAGCTTTATATCGACACTGCAGTGTCGAAAATGTCAAAATAATTCGACACTCATTAACTGTCGAATTATATTGAAATTATCGACATTCTGGTGTCGATATTAAGCGGATATTTCGACGCTAGTGTGTCGAATTTTTCGTGAGATTGTTGCGGCGGGGTTGGGGCAACAACGGAGTTCAACGGCGACGGGCGACGGCGGTGGACTTCAACGGCGACGGCGACGACGACGGGGCGGCGGGCGACGGGGCGACGAACGGTTTTTTGCTGCAATTGATTTTTTTTGTTTTCTTCAATCTTCCCTCCTCGTTTTGATTTTGTCAATTCAATTTCTTTTTTCTTTTTGTTTTATTAATTTTTTTTTAAATTGGTCTTGCAAAAGAAAATTAATAAAATAATTTTTTTTTGTTTGTATTTTATTAAGGTTATTATAGTCTTTTTATACTGAATTTAATAAAAAAAATTAAATTGGTCTTGCACTAAGTAAATTTCGTCTTGCAAATAGTCGCTGCCTTTTTCGAATAATGATTTTTTTTTTAATTATAAATAATAAAATTTTATTGATTAGAAACTTAAAAGTTACTCTTTCGTATAATGTTAGGTTCTTATTGATCAAAAAGAGATTAACGGGAATGAAATTGATTTTATTATCGGTAATTATCCACCGCAAACTCCCACGAGTCTCGTTTTGGAGGAAAGAAATCCGGGCAGTCTTCCTTTCTTCGACCAAAACGAAGTGCAGAGTAATGAATTAGAGTACACCCTTTCGGGTTCTTGATAGCCGTTTCTTTTTTTAATCAGAAACGAGAAGCGTTTCATCGAGTATCGTTTGATTTTTGGGCACGATAGGATGGATCATATAGTTTTTTTTTTTTTTTTTGGGATCAAATCTTTAAGGTTTGATTTGAGAGCTTTTGAAGAGAATATGTTGTAGTGAAATGCTCTCTCGGAAGAGTTGAGCTCACAAAATTTGTAATTAGTAAAGAGTTGCAAGTCATTGATTAATGGATTTATTTCACATATTACTATTATGGTTATTAATGCGGGAAAAATACAGTTTTCATCCCGTAAGTTTGAATCGATTTCACATTTGGTTCCTCATGTTTCAAAAATCAACGCTTTTAGTCATTTCCGTCAATTTTCTGTTAAAACTAATGGAATCACACATGTGCTCATCACTATTGTAACTGCCGAACTAGGGGTAAATTGACGGGCATGACCAAAAGTCTCAAATTATTGAAACATGATAGACCAAATGTGTTTTCCTGTAAACATGAGGGACCGAATATGAAATCATTGCAAACTTGAGGGATGAAAAAAATAAATTTCCCTCATTAATATTATTATTCTTATTGCTTAAATAGGTTTTTAATATGAAATTTCATGGAGAAAATTATAGTTTTCACCACTCAAGTTTGCACTAATTTCATATTTGGTCCCCAATATTCACAAAAAAACACATTTGATCTCTCATGTTTCAATAATTTAACAATTTTGATCCTTTCTGTCAATTTACCATTAGTTTGTCAGATAGAGATGGACACACACTTGATTCGGTTAGTTTTAATGAAAAAATGACGGAAATGTATTGTTGTAAATACGAGGGACCAAATGTGGAATTAGTGCAAACTTGAAGGATGAAAATTGTATTTTTCCTAAATTTCATGGATCAACAAATTATATTGGGTGTTAACATAACCTCGGATTTATAATTATACCAGTGTATCAATTGATAACTACATATTTTAAGTATTTTAAAACCAATATTAAAAAAAATAAAGAATAATACACGTGGAGGGAAATGCGCCAATTACAGAATTCAGTATGCAGTTTCCGCTACTCTGGGGGAATACTGATACATTTATTTGCCACGTATCACACACACTCACAAACACACACTTCAGAAACAAAAAATATTAAAAATAAAATATAATAAAGTAAAAGAAGAAATGAACGAAGAAGAAACATGTTCTTGACGTTTTAATCCCCAACAAATAACAATAATTGCAGTTTAGCCCACACAATCATCACCAGTGAAGATCATAAGCGAGGAAGAAGAAAAGCAATGAGATATGAAGAAATCTCGAAATGCTGAGCCGAAGAAACTGAACGACGAATTGGGCAAAATTAGGGCGAATAATCATACTAATAAGCTTGATTTTGACGATAAAATTGATAGGAAAAGCCTTTTCAATCTCTCTGCTGTTCCGTTGTTCTTCTCCTTTTGGTGTTTCGCCATTTTTTTCAATTCTAAATTCGGCATCACTGATGGAAATGAAGGTACACAATTTCTCTATGTTTTTTTTTAATTTTGGTTTTTATATTTGGAAATGAAGAATTTGAGATTAATTAATTTCGATATCTTGTTCCAGTTGGTCTGTTATTGCATTTACTGTTCGTAATTGCAAATCTCTGTCTCCGATTGTAATTTATTTGCTGAAACTTCCTTGTTTGGAGTAGGTTTCTTAATTAGGGCAAGCTCTCTGTGTTTTTTTTTTTGGGGCAATTTGATCTTAATTAATAGTCTCATGTGATTACCCAATTGGGGGAAATTGATAATTGTTAGTGTTCATGGTCTCGTAATCATCGAAAATGGATAAAATTTTCAGGGGATTTGCTACCGTACAATGTGAGCTTAAACAACTCCAAGATCGAAAATAGATACGAAAATATCACTAGCGGAGTAGTAGTACAATCGAATCTATCCGCAGCTATCAACGACTCCACTTCTCACGAAGATTCAGACCAAGGAACAAGCGAAGTCGAAGAACTAATCTCATTCGTGTTAGATTACAATTCACTCACATGTCAAATACAACAACAAGAACATGCCAGCAAAACCGAACCAGAAACGACCCCCAATGTGAGAATCCAGTTAACTTATCCGAATCTCGACGATTTCAAATACATTTCCCGGCAAGAAAAAGTCAACTCTCAGAGTCAACTAGTCAACATCACCCACAGGCTCGAGCCAGATGGGAAGCCCTACAACTACGCCTCGGCTTCAAAGGGCGCGAAAGTCTTGGCCCATAATAAAGAAGCAAAAGGAGCAAGTAATATACTAGGCAAAGACCACGATAAATATCTTCGAAACCCGTGTTCTGCTGTAGGTAAATTTTTCGTAATCGAACTTGCGGATGAAACTTTAGTCGATGCGGTGAAAATAGCGAATTTCGAACACCACTCTTCGAATTTCAAAGATTTTGAATTATACGGGAGCTTAGTTTACCCAACCGAGACATGGAATTCATTAGGGTCTTTTGTAGCGGCAAATTCAAAACACGCACAGTGCTTCGAACTGCCCGAGCCAAAATGGGTTCGGTACTTAAAAGTCAACTTACTTAGTCATTATGGATCGGAATTTTATTGTACATTAAGTGTTGTGGAGGTTTTTGGAGTCGATGCAGTTGAGCAAATGCTCGAGGATCTTATCGTCACTTCGGGGGAATCTTCGACTAATCGATCTCCAAACCCTAATTCAACTACAACGACAACCTTAACAACAACAGTGCAAGAACCTAGTTCGAATAATCTTGAAATAAATACTTCTTCTGCTAATAATAATTTGGTTGAGGCTAAGGATGTGGGAAGTGGTGTTGATGAGGGGCAAAAGGGTAATTCGGATATACCGAAAAAACCATTGCCTGTTGATCCTGTGCCTAAGGCTAATAGATTGCATGCCGATGCGGCACTAAAGGTGGTTTTGCAGAAGGTGAGATTATTGGAGATGAATTTATCGGTTCTTGAGGAGTATATTAAAGAACTTAATAAAAGACGAGGGGATTTTTTCCCGGAGCTTGATAAGGAGCTAGCAAAATTTTCGGCTCTCTTGGAGAGGAGTAAAGTGGAGATGAAGAGTTTATTGGAATGGAAGGAGATAATGGTAATTTAGTATTTTTTTTACATTAGTTCTTGAAGTTTTGTGCTTACGTTAGCAAAGACGAGCACTTTTGTTTATTGTGTTTGTGTTGTTGTTTTTTTGTTCAGGAGAAAGGGTTTTTTGAGCTCGAGTCGTGGAGAGGTGTTGTATCGGCCCAAATGGATGTCTTGGTCACACAAAATAGCATGCTGAGGTTTGTTGTCATGTTTCTTGAATTTAATTTTGTTTATAATCACCAGTGTTGTGAATGTAATTATGACCTGGTTTAATTTTTGGGTAATCAAATCGAAAGGCTGATTTTTTTTTTATTTTTTTTTTTATTTTTTTTGGTGAAACCCAATTTCAGGAAAATGCAAAAAATCGAAAAAGCCTCTCTAATTAGTCCCAATAAAGAATGATGTTAAAGAGATGAATATAACACACAAAATAATTGAAAAGTTCAGATTCTTGATTATATACTGACGTCTTCGATTCGTTAGTTTTGAATATAGCTTGCTGTAAAAGAAATATTGATTTTATATTTAAATTTGTTTTGCAGGCTAGAGGTAGAAAAGGTTTTACACGACCAAGCTAGTTTGGAAAACAAAGAGCTCGCTATTCTAACAGTGACCTTTTGCTTTGCCTGCATTTCGATTCTCAAAATAATTTCGGAAATGTTTTTCAGATATTTTGTGGCCCCCACTCCTGGTGCAATTTTTCGATCAAGTAGAGGTTGGATTTTAATTCTCGTATTCTGTAGCATGACAATGCTCATACCGGTGCTTTATGGTTAGTTTATCTAACTCTACGTTTAGAACTGTCGATACTAGCAGAAATATATGTACACACATATATATAAGCTTCCGACACGTGAATGTATCACATGTATAAGCTCGGTACAGCTTGTCTATTTATTTTTATTTTTTCGGGTTGTGTTTGAGTTTCGCAAGTGTGAGATTCGTTAGATAATTTTCATCCGGTTACACGTATTTCGTTGTCTGAGATGTTTTTGTAAGATGTTGTACATCACTTTGTGAATGATGTTTTAACATGGTTGGTTGGAAGAGAGGAGGAAATGAAAGAAAGAAAGAAAAAGCAAAGGTTTTTTTTTGCAGGTGTTCTTTTAAGCTGATTTACAAAGTTCTTTTGCTTTAATTCTTGATTTGTGTAATTTTGTACATAATGTGTGTGTGTGTGTGTGTGTGTGTGTGTGTGTGTGTGTGTGTGTGTGTGTGTGTGTGTGTGTGTGTGAACTTCTAACTATTCATTGTAGTTATTTTGGAACCAAAGTTTTTAGTAACGAGTTTGGTGGAAATCGGAAGGATCAGATTCGGAGTTAGATTTAGAACTCATGAAAAATTAATTTAAAACCATATTCCAAAAAAAATCGAAAATCAAAGTTTAGAAAACAAATCAAAATTAGATATGATGAATCAAAGAAATTCAGTGTATGATTTTAGCTTCAACTAAATGAAATAACTAATGTTGATATTATATATATAACTTTGGAAAAGAAATGAATTTTATTTTTCGAAATTAAAATTGGAACCGAAATTGGAACCTATTTTATCTATTCCAATTTCGATCCGGAGAAAATTGAGAATAAGAATTTTGAATTTTGAAATGAAAAATATTATTTCAAATCGTGCCTATTTCCGGTGAAAGACGTGTATTTATTTGATATTATTAAATTACTGAAGTAGCCCTAAAAGACGATCATATTTGCAATTGACCCTGATTTCTCTTTCCAGTTACCACTTCCCACCCTCTCCCCCTGAAAATGAATTCAGTTACGAAACCACCAATTTTCTCTCTCTAAAACCCTGCAATTATTCCTCCACTTTCTCTCTCTTTAAACCACAACAAACAAATCTATTAGGGTTTCGCACCAGAAGCCGACCTCCGTCCTCTACACTCGCACACAGAAATAAAATCAGAAATTAAAAAAAAACCACAAAAAAAAGGCGCTTAAATTTGTGCCCTGCACCCCCCCAAAAAGGAAAAATACATGCAAAACCCCATTTTTCTCTGCTTCAATACAATGTGCTAGGGTTTAATTTTTTTTTTTGGTGGTGCTCCTTTGATGAATTGTGAGAATCTGCGCAGCCGATATCAGCACTGTAATTTCATGACTTGTGAATGGATTCTGGCATTTTCGTTGCTGCGGCCGATTGTTTGTCGTTTTTTGTAACCCTAGCAGCGACGATTCTCTGCCTTCTTCTCGCGTTTGCTGTGATTTTCCGGAAGCTGAAATTGGAACCGGGCCCTTCGGAATTGAAAAACCTAAAAAAGCCCTGTGATTGTGCCTGCGCGTGCCAGGGCGGAGAAATTGATAACAGCGGCGAGGATATGACTGTGGTGTTAAGTGGTGGCGGTGGTGGTGGTGTTTGGGAGAACGGTGGGGATATGGCGGTGGAGAGGCAGCCAGGGGCGTCGATGATGGAGCAGTTGGTACCGGAGATCACCACACATGCCCTCAGTTACTTGGATTACCCGAGCCTGTGTCGACTCTCGATGACGAATTCGCTCATGAGGAAAGCCGCAAACGATGATAATGCATGGAAGGCGCTTTATCATAAGGTTGGTTGTTCTCTTTCTGCTTTTTTTTGGTATAACTCTTTTAATTTTGGAGTAATGAAATTTTAGGTTCCTTTTGCTGTTTCGATTTTTTGGTTTACCTGATATAATCAATTGATATTGGATTTATTATTTACTTTCTTCAGTAAAGACATTCGACTTGGTAGATCAACTAGTGCTAATAAGAAAAAAGAGTAAATGAAATAAGAAACCTACAATTTGACCGTTTATCCCATATTATGGAGCCTAGTGGATTGTGCTAGAAAAACTTCAACGGTTTTGGGGAATCGCGTTAGCTTGTGGTAGAGGTTATTGGCTGCTATACGGCTATACCTCCACGCGTCATTGTTCCGTTAGCCGTTAGGCTTTAAGGAAGCAAATCAGAATGTGCCAAAACTTTAATGGCTGATTTGGTGTCCTGGTCTGCATGTATATCTTTAGCGTCGGTTCAGTTTTCCGTCATGATGACACAATATTCAATTCTCTAACATCGGATTCGGTGTCCGAGAAGACCGTTATTTCTTTGTTTAAACTTTGAAAAATGTGATAGAATATACCTGAAATTTAAAATGACCAAGACGTTAGTGATTCTTAAATCTCTACTTCTCATGTTTGTGACCCCTTTACGTTTGGTGGTATTTTTAGTGTTTATGTGATAGCACTGTGGTTTGGGAATTTCTGACTGGCTTTAGCCACGTCGTGACAAATGTAACTTTTGAAAAGGAAGTGTTGTTTTTGCTTGTCGGTTACTTAGTGCTGGTAGCAATAAGAAATATACCTTTTGAACATAAGTGCCATTTTCAAATATGCATGTTGGTTGACTTATCGTTTGGATTGCAGCCTAGTAAGTAGCATCTCAATATTATCGTTAAGACAAGGTACTTCAACATTGGTTGATTGTCAGCTTTTTCCTAATTTGAAAAGATTGCACCCAATATATGAATTGAGGTTTCCTTGTTCAACAAATCAACGACCAGGGAGAGTAAGGAGCGCGAGGAACTCATTATATCTATTTCTCTATTAGGTGAAGTCACAGATTAGGAAAACAAAACCGAAGCAAAATGGCTTTTTTTCTAAGCAGGCTATGGTTTAGAATGACTTTACTGTATCTTTTGAGTGTTCTTTTTTTTTTTCTTCTTTTTTTAACGAGTCTCTGTCGCTGCTCGTGTCGGTGACTGACATTCTCTTTTGGGAATTGTGCCCTAACTTTAGGTTGACCATCCACATTATTCTAGTTTTGACAGTCTATTTTTCTTCTTTCTTATCTCATGCAATTGGGTCAACGTGATATACATATATATACTTCAACTTCACCATGCTATGGGTTCTTGAATATATATTCTTTTCTTTTTTTCATGTTGATACGTTTTGAGCATTTAAGGTAATTTGCGATTAATTAACGTTACAGGATTTATGTTTCTTGGGTAAATATTTATTTCCATGAATCTTCTTGTCGTACGGTGAAAATTCTGAAATAGTTCTTACCACGGTGCAGATTGTATCTTTAACTTTTTTTCTTGTTAATCTTCTCTCTATCACGTACAATACTATTTGGAGTGAAAATATTTTCGTACATTTTCGGTCATTCTACTCATGTTTGAAACAGTAAGTAAAGCTAACTTCATTGCTCTTTTGTTTAATGTACCAGGATTTCACCTTGGAGCAAGATGCTTTGAACCCACCTAATGGATGGAAAGCTTATTATGCAGCTACAAGAGCTATTGTTACTGTAAATGCGGAGTTTTTTAGGATTGTCAGAGAAAGGTTGCTTCAAGAAATGGGTCAGTTTTGGCTTAATGCAGATTACGTGAAATGCTTCCATGCAACCGGCGAGTCGTTTAGTGGGTATGCTACTTTCTATACATGGAATTAAAATTTCAACTTACGTTAACTATGAAGTTTAATTGATTCACATCGATTCCTTCTCTATGTATTGTTTTAGTAATTTACTACAAAAATTGTTTTTTTTTTTTTTAAATATTTTTCTCGATTCTATTTCTAGGTACAATGCAGTGATGGAGAGCTGGCAGCTGGCATTTAACTGGGAGAATGTAGCCGATTTCCAAATCAGAGATGTGAGGACACGTGTGCTGTCGAATATGGCTTGGGTTACCATGAAAGCCTACGTGGATATTGGAGCGGGCCCGTTTAATATGACTAACGTATACGAGTTCCATAACGGAAGATGGTACATGGTGCACCACCACAACTCTGCTTTGCTTACTAATGGAGGCGATCAACAACATATGCAGTGACGAAGAAAGAGAAAAAAAAAATACAATGTTTATGATGAAAATGGGAAAGTGGTACAGTTTCGTATAAGATGCATTTGGGAATCTATATACTTCCTTTTTTTTTTCCGCAGTTTTTTTGAGAATCGAGTGTAGTTCTTTGGCAGGAAGGAAGATGTTGAATTCTTGATGCCTTGGTTTTTAGTTGACAGAAATTCTATGGTAAAGAAAATACATGCACAGACTCACAGTCAAGTGTTTGCTCTTTTGTCAAATTGCCCCTTGTGCTTTCGTTTTCCTTATGTTCGTTCTTTTCGATAAATGAAATGTGTTGATTAAACTGATAAATGACGCAAAAGAAGGCAGTCGCTCCTCTTTTAACTTGATACGAAACTCGTGTTATGATAATGTAATACGATTTTCTAATTTTAATTCGACAGTAACACCTAATGCATCGTTCCATTTCATCAATATTATTGCCAATGTTCTTTGTGGATAAATTTTATTTACAAAACCCTCCTCATTTTTCCATAATTACATCCACCCGGCAATTTGTAGATTTCTTACATTAACACCCTCCTTTTATATGGGGTGGATGTAATTTCTAAACAAATGAGGGTTTTTATTTTCATAAATAATTTTTACCTTAAGGAGGTGGTTCCATTTCATCAATATTATTGTCTATATTGTTTGCTAAATTCAACAAAGGTGGGCCTTACGGGCTGCATTTGACGGGTATCGGGCTGAGGGGAAGCGGCCCATTTGAACAATTACAATTGAAATGCTATATTCTGCACTAAAATATGTTTGGATGCATTTTTGTTTTGTTTTCATTGTTTCCCCAAAACAAAATGAGATTTATTACACTTTTTAAATCATTTTCTCAAAACAATTTCAAAAGTTTATCTCTCCTTCAGATATGATGTGACTGCTACAGTAAAAAATATTTTCACTAAAAAAAAAATAAACATCGCTTCATCTTTCAATTTTTTTCTTCAAAAATATATTTTTCTAACACCTTTAAACATGATTTGACTGCTACAGTGTATTTTGTCTCCTTCCAAAATACAAACAAACATTACTTTCATTCTCAAATTATTTGCCCAAAACATATTTCCTCAAAATGAAATCAAAATAAGATCCAAAACGCTTCCAAACATTGCCTGGTTAACTTCAAAATTCCATTTTCAGTTTTTTTTAGAATTCTTTTTGGATTGAAATTCGAATACACATATGATTTTGATTTTCAATTCAATTTTAATATTCAAATATAATTCTAAAATTCCAACTTTTTTTTAATTTATTTTTTAATAGTAAATTACTACCACTCCTGAATTATGGTCAAATTATGAAAACACCTCTTCTGTTTGAGTAATTATAGTCAATCCCTTCAACTATATATTACCTTACAAAAAACCCATCCAGCGGTAAATTTAGGGATGTTAAATCGGTAAAATTGAACTGAAATTTAGCTACGCCAACATTTCATACAGTTTACCTAACTGAATATACGATTTTGGTTCGGTAAATAACCGAATTACATAAATTTTATTTAAAATATTTAAGAGGAGGGGTGACTGTAATTAATAAGAACATACCTTAGGGGTGTGGCCGTAATTTTTCCATTTTTTAAATTAAACTAGTGTCAATTTCATATATGTGTTAGACTATTATTTAATTCGTCAGATTTCCACTCCACAACACGTGGCTAAAAAAAATCATTTACCATTTTTGCTTCTTCCTCTCACCTCTTCCCCAAATCCCATAAACCCTAAACTCGCAATTTTCCTTAACAGTAAGAAATTGACTGTTTTTCCTTACCGAAAATAGCGTAAAAATTGCAATTCGCAGCCAAAAAGGGTAAAAAAAAAAAAAAAAAAAAGAGAGGAGAAATGGACAAAGAAACCCTAAGCAAAATCGAGGAGACGGTGTTGGAAATTCTCAAGGATTCAAACATGGACAAAACGACGGAGTTTCAGATCCGGAAGTACGCATCTCAGAAGCTGGGAATTGACCTCTCCGAACCTGCCCTGAAGAAGTTCGTCAGAGAGATTGTCGAGTCGTACCTCAGGGTACAACAGGCTAAAGCGGAGGCGGCGGAGGTGGAGGAGGAGGAGGAAGAGGATCCGCCGGAGAAGGAGGAGGAGGAAGAAAATAACAATGGGAAGAAAGGCGCCAGAGAGTACGATGATGAGGGTGGCATCATTATTTGCCGCGTCAGTTTTCTCGAATACTTTTATGCAATTTTGTTTTTGAATTACTCAATTTTGGTGTTCTGATTTCGATTCCGGTTTTTTTTCTAACTCTGATTTCTTGTTTGATGAGTGTTTTTTCGTTTCCGTTTTCGAATTGTTTCAGTTAAACGATAAGAGAAGGGTTACATTGTCTGAGTTTAAAGGGAAGACTTATTTGTCAATTAGGGAGTATTACAAGAGAGATGGCAAAGAGCTTCCGTCGGCTAAAGGTATCGTCTTTTTCGTTTTTCTAATATAAGGGCCCGTTTGGCTAAGCTTATTTTAAGCAACTGATATGATAAGCTCTTACGTCCGATAACTTATTTTAAGAGTTGATAAGTAGGTATCACTTGTTTTTAGAATTAATTTTTTTGAAGTGTTTGGATAGTGATTTGATAATTGTTCGTAGAGTGCTTATATTTTGAACTTTTACGAACTTTTATTAAAAATTTACTAAACACTTTGAAATAACTTATAAGCTTTTTTTAACAGCTTATAAGCTTAGCCAAACACCCTCTAAGCTTATATAAATTGAATTCCATCTGACACGTAGCAAGTTACTCCCATGAATTTTTCTAGCGGGCTAATATACTTATCAATTATCGTAACATTTAGTCATAGTATTTACATTTATGGACATCAACCAATAGGTTTAGGCAGTGTGAAAATTGCTTTAAATGGAAAATAAACCCGATATCGAAATTTTCACCAAATGAACTAGAAAAAAAAAAATCTCGTCGTTGATTTTGTAGTTTCTCTTGCACTATACGTCTTATAGCAGAAGATATATGTACAGCAACACTATTATTTCTAAATGAATTGACTGGTCTTAAGCAGAGGAAATGTTTCTGTTTCCACATAATGTAGGTTTTCAGGTTGTTAGGAATTTCATGCAATGTCGTGTTTTTGCTTAGACATAAGCGGTGACAATCTTTTTTTGCCTATGTATAAATCGCAACTTTTGCCACCTTGTTTTGTGAAGAACTAACATATTTGCTTCCAATTCGATATTTTCCCCAATTCGATAATAACATGCCATTTTTTTTTTGCTCCTTTTCGCTTTTTTGGCAACTTGTGTACAGTTTAGCTTTCGAACTAAACTGGAAGAAGTATATTGATATTAAAAATCACATGTACTTTCTAATTACGAAAGAAAAAACAAAACAATTTGTTGTACTAAAAAAATAAATGCCGTGGAGTGAGACTTGTCGGTGGACGATTTTTTTATTTATAATTTCCTTAAATACTTTATGATCGATCGCCCTCTTGGTAAATAGGGTGTTCTAGTTTATATATTTATATTGAAGGATCTATTACGTTCATACTGTAGTATTATATAGTAATTTCTATAGCATTAAGCAAAAAGTTCATTTTGTCGTTGCTGTGCAGGAATAAGCTTGACAACTGACCAGTGGGGGTCGTTCAAGAATAATATACCTGCGATAGAAGACGCCATCAAGACAATGGAATCTAGGTTACTGTAATAGAACCGGTTTAAGATTCTGTAATGATGCTTCTTTTGATGCCCTTTCTCCGACTTGTATTGTTTATAGTCTTTTTGATTTTTCGGGATATATATTTGGTTCTACTGAGATTCTCTGTAATGTTGTTGACTTAAAAAGTTGCAAACTTGTTAGAATGGAGAAGTTCTTGAAAAGTATGATTTATTTAGAGCAAATTGCGGCCAACCCCCTAAGGTAATTTCAAATCACGAAAAATCCCTCATGTTTGGATATTTACAATCACCCCCTCTCAATTATGTATTGTCTTACGAAAAAACCTCTCTTTGAGTAGGTAAATTTGACTCCGTAAGGGTACACGTGTAAGACAATAAATAGTGATTGGTGTTTGTAATTACGTAAATATGAGGGGTTCTTTTGTAATTTGAGCATACCTCGGGGGTGACTGTAATTTGCCCGTTTATTTATGTTTAAAGGATGTCTTTTGTGTTTGGATAACGAATCCAAACTTTGCTTCGAAAAAAAAAAAAGACGAATCCGAACTTGGGTGGAATTTGGAACGAAATCTTTATATTCTATTAAAAAAAAATTGGAAAGTGCTATATCGACACTCGGAGTAGATAAATCTTGGAGGGTTGTCAGTATCGAACATTTATCTGAGATGACTAAGAATATTCTCTTGAACACTCGTCCGTTTATAATCGAGGATTTTATGCATTGGTGTGACAATCTTGTTTTGACTTTGAGTAGAGACTGAGATTATTACAGACTCCTATTCCTCGATGTTGTATTGACGACTTTGAAAAGTATTATCCATCAATAGGGAGATCTCTGTCTTTGCTCGTTTCTGACGGTGAGTTTTCGTTTGATGTTTGGGACATGAGATCGGAAAATGGAGAATGGACAAAGACGTACAAGGTTGACTTGGAAGATCAAATGGACCGCTTGCACGATAAAAGGGTTTGACTTTCCTTTAGAGCTTATACCGGTTGGTTGGTTAAAACACGGAGAGGTGTCGTTGGTCTTGCATGAAAATGCATATTTTACCAAGACTTGCATTGCCTACAATGTTCGTACGAAACGAATCGACGACTTTTTTGAGTTGTATGACGATTGTCATTATTGCACCTTTCAGTTTCATACAAACAACCTCGTATGGTACAATGTTATTTGTCATTTTCGTATTGATCGTACGTTACGTTTTTGGAATAATTTTTTTTCATTATTAATTAAAAACTTTGGAGGACAAGTATTCACTCATCTGTTTGTTGTGTGAGCTGATGTTTTTTTAATTTTTGTTTTTGTTACTGTGTTAATTTGTCATTCTTTTTGTACAGTTTTGAATACAATTTTCATTGTTATTTGCATTTGAGCCCCTTGATTGTCTATACTCTATAGATCTTTGACAAACATCAATAATGAAGCATTTATAACATTAATAATGAAGGAAGAAACAAATCGGTCAACATAAATAATTGAAATTAAATAAGTATTTAATTTGATGATAAGTAGTAATTAATTTGTTGAAACCCAATTTAATAATTGATGTATAATATACGTGGAGAATATCAAGATATTTGATATGATATTTTTTCCTTAAATTATTAAAAAGATAAATAATATAAGGGCTTGAGCAAAGTGTCACGTGACCGGGAAATAGGAGTAGAATCGACATTTTGTAAGGAATATTCTTTGAAATAAAAAAGATTCCATAGAGAATCATCTTACGGGTGTAAGACTGAAACAAACATCGGACTGAAACAAACATCGGGAGGATTTTGGCAAGTACGGAGGGGTGTTTTTTGTAATTCAACCTAAGTTCGGGGATTCGTTCGTAATTTACCCTATTAGCTAAGATATTATTATTATGATATTATCTCGTATAACTGGAAACTATTAAAAGAGAAGAAAAATAAAATAAAAAATTAGGTCATTCATAATAGGTTAACTTTCAATAATTATTCTGCCGGCCGGTTGTGGTCACCGATCGTTCGGACTCCGGCGACGCATAAAGAAGAAGGGAATTAATTCACTGGTACACTTTTTTTTTTTTTTTTTCCCTAAAGAACTGTTACTTTGATGAAGAACTTTTCTCGTTTAATATTATCTATCACTTTAAAATTTCAATGATGCATTAGTTACATATTTTTTTGTAATTTTTTTTTTATTTACGTTTAATTACTCGAGGGAGGATGACTTGAATAAAAGGAGTTTAGCCACGGCTGCATATTTATTAGTCTTCTTAATACACGTTCGCAAACCGAAAGCATCACTTATTATGAAACAAAAGGAATATTTATTAGCTTTCAGACGAGTATTTTACTATTTTACGTTGGACTTGTATTCCATATATGCAGATGGCCAGGAGCAACGATAATAGTCATGTTCGTAATTTCACGAGAAGTATAAGGAAGCGCGGTTCAACAAATATAGATTCTCTTCCTGACGAATTGGTGTTCCAGATTCTTCTAGAACTCCCGGCTGAAGATATTTACGATTCTGCCACGTTTGTTTGCAAGAAGTGGTACAAAATGATCAATACCGATAACTTCATAAACGCACACCTTCAACACTCAACTCCTGGACTTCTAATCCAGAATCGTACTCACAAGTACGACCGTGCCGTATTTGCGGCAATTCGGAAGGGGAAAATCGAGATATCCAAGTTCGGTTACAAGTTCACGGATCGAGTTTTGGCTAGTTGTAACGGTTTGGTACTAAACCACTATTCAGAAGACAACTATGCTCTTCAGATTGTGAACCCGGCAACAAAGCATCGATTATTCGTCACCCCTCCGTTTACTGAAAACGTAAGTCGCCACAATTCTTTTGGTATAGTACACGTGGCATCTACAATGGCGTATAAAGTGGTCCATACGTACTTTCATTATACGGATGACTATTTATACACATGGGGGTGTTCTTTGTTGACCGTGGGAGTTGACACGTATTGGAGACGTGTTCACATTCGACCCGTTTTTCCGGAAACGGCAATTGTCCACACCACCCAACAAACAACCCAAGGTTTTATGCATTGGGTTTGGAATAACGTTTGTGTTTTGACGTTGAATGTAGAGACTGAAGTTATTACAAGTACTCCTGTGCCTCGGGGATACAAACACGTACGCAAGTGGTATTTGTCGAAGGGAAAATCTCTATCTTTGCTCGTTTTGTGCGAAGATTCTTCGTTTGACGTTTGGGAAATGAAATCGGAAACCGGAGAGTGGACGAAGACGTACAAGGTTGACTTTGAACCCTTGTCGAAATATGGCCGTCTCACGCCCGTTGCTTGGTTAAAGCATGGAGAGGTGTTGGTCTTGTCGGGTTCAGATTTGACGCGTGTTTGCACTACCTACAATGTTCTTACGCGAGAAATCGACTGTTTCGAGTTGGATGATTGTTGTAACGACCATATCTTTAAAATCCATACGAATAGTCTCGTATCATTAGATGGAATCGAAGTTTGATATTGATTCTCGATTTTGCTTTTTTTTTTTTCATTCTGCCTCCAATTTCTTCTTGAAATTACTGCTGTTTTTTTTTTTTTTTTTTTTTTTTAATAATGATGAATTCTTCTTTGCATACTCCATTATTGTAAACTAAATTATTACTGAAGATTGTCGGCATAAATCGCATAGCTTAGATTTAAATAGCTGATATGATAATTACTTGTTTTAAGAGTTAGATAAGTAGTTACCTGTTATTTTTAGAATTAATTTTTTGAAGTGTTTGAATAATGATTTGATAAGTGTTCGTAGAGTGCTTATATTTTGAATTTTTACAATATTTTATAAAAAAAATTACCAAACACTTTGAAATAACTTATAAGCTTTTTTTTTAACAGCTTATAAGCTTAGCCAAACACCCTCTAAGCTTATATAAATTGCATCCCATCTGAAACGTAGCAAGTTACTCCCATGAGTTTTTCTTTTGTCGGCCTAATATATTTATCAATTATCATACTTGTACATGTTAGTCATAGTATTTACATTTCCTTGCAAATTGCTTTAAATGGCTTGGAGTTGATTAGTTGTCCAAATATAAGGTGCTTTTAATTCTTGTAATATAAAATTATTTTTTCTTCGAGTAAAAATATGACTATTTCGATGACAAGAAATCAAACTAATTGAAGAATAAAAAAGGGAAATATTTCTTGATATATATATAAGTATATAATTAACAGACTCGTGATTATTACGCAAAAAAAAATAAAAAATATATATATCCTGTTAAAATTTACTTCAAGCTACTGTATCCACATAATTTAGAATTTATACACCTTTTTTTCAGGTTGAAATGAAATTTGTCGGTGGAATGTTTTTATTTTTATTTATTTTTCTTAGTTTAAGATTCTGTAATGATGCTTCGTTTTAAGATAATACATAGTTGAGGGGTGGTTGTTATTACCTAAACATGAGGGTTTTTTTGTAATTTGAGCATACCTCGGGGGCGACTGTAATTTGCCCGTTTATTTATGTTTAAAGGATGTCTTTTGTGTTTGGATAACGAATCCGCACTTGGGTGGAATTTGGAACGAAATCTTTATATTCTATTAAATTGTTTTTTTATTTCGATTTTAGAAAATTCCAATATTCGACTTTTGGATTGAAGTTAAAATATATATTATTTTAATTTGAAAAAATAATTCCGAGAATCTTAATATTATTTCATATGCAGGTGTGTAGTTTAACAAAAATAAGCAGTTCAACATGATCTGTAGCCGTAAATTCGTTTGTGCACATCTTCACCGTTCAACCACCGAACTTGTCATACAAACTTATTTCCCACGGGGGTGACCGATTTTCGTAAAAATGCAGCCCGGTTGAATTGAGATTTCCGATTTCAATAACGAGTTAAGTGGCTCGGGGGCTAATTGTAATGCTTTGGTACTCGGCTTTGGTATCAAAAGAATATGCTTTGTACATTGCAAATCCCCCAACCAGGAAGCGTTTTGCACTTCCTCCGTCTTTCGAAACATCGTTTGGTTGCGGTACCTTAGACAAACCTTTAAATATTGAGTTAAAAAAAATCTAGTAAGCATTTACAACATCAATAATGAAGGAAGAAACAAATCGGTCAACATAAATAATTGAAATTAAATAAGTAGCTAAGTAGAACGGAAACTTCAATTTTCTTAACATTTTCGCCTTGTGGACACATTTTCGTGTACGTGAGGACACTTGTCGGACACCTTATGGACCGTTGGGCGATTTCTAAAACGTTAGAAACATGTTTTAATAGTAAATTTTTAAATATTTTTGTTGCTTCCTTAATTATTTACATAATTTAATGATTAGTCGTAAATTGAGAGTTTATAGTAAAATTTATTTAGAATATGTTTGTATGAAAATATTTAAAATGATTTTATATATAAATAAAAACTTAAATATGTTTATATAACATATTTATAAATATACCCCTATATACCGTTTCCCATGTCCGTTTTCCTGTTTTCGTGTATAGTTGTTTCCGTACCCGTATAGTTAAGTTGGTGATAAGTAATTTGTTGAAACTTGAAATCCAATTTAATAATTGTATAATATAAGTGGAGAATATCAAGATTATTGAGTTCTACTTGGTAACTATCAAGATTTTGGTATGATATTTTTTACTTATTCTTTTTTTTTTTTCTCTTAAAAAAGTTATTATATTAGGGCAAAGTGAATGCATCACTGGGAATAGGAGTAGAATCGACATTTTGTAAGGAATATTCTCTGAAATAAAAAGGATTCCATAGAGAATCACATCATAGGAGGTCTCTGTAACACTGAAACAAACATCAGGAGGATTTGGTAATTACCGGAGAAGTGTTTTTTGTAATTCAACCTAAATTCTGGGGTTTTTTCATAATTTATCCTATTTCTTAAGATATTATTATCTCGTATAACTGAATAAAAGAAAAATAAAATAGTATTTGAAGGTAGAAAAGTAATTTGTTCAAATCCTAATAATCAATTAAATTCTCTCAAAAGGAAAAAATCAATTTAATTGGATAATATAATATCAAGGTTATTGAGTTGTCTATTCTAATTTGAGATTCGGAATCCATCCATGCCAAAACTCATCTAAGCAACGACAATCTATTCATCCTACTATAGAATTAGGGTTTACAGAACTTTCACCAAGTTATTTGTTCACTAATTTATTATATTTTTCTTATGATCAATGGGTAACTCACTGAGTCACCATCTCAATGGCTCGTCGAAGAAGAAGGAAACTCAGAGGTAATTTTTTTTTTTTTTTTTTGTTTTGTTGAGAATATCAATTCAAGAGTAGCTGCAGGTAATTATAAAACATGCTTCTCTTTCGATCGAGAACGCTTTCGTGTTTTCGAGTTTCTACTTAATTTGACAATTAAATAAACCGTCCACGCATTAATTAATATGGTTGATGACATTGATTCTGAAACCTGTGTCGATTATTTCAGGAGGCGTAAGTCATTCGATACGGAGTCGCTTCCAGACGATTTGGTGTTCGAGATTCTCCAGCGTCTTCCAGCGCAAGATATTTACGATTCTGCCATGCTCGTTTCCAAGAAGTGGTACGAATTGACCAATAGCCGTAGCTTCATATACGAACACCTTCGTCGTTCAACTCCCGGACTTGCTGTCAAGTGCTACGATGGCAAGCTCGCGTTTTTTATCGAGACGCAACGAGGCCAAATCAAGGTATCTAAGTTGCATAATCACGACTTCGGCGAAAGCTGCTTTTGGAGAAGTTGTCACGGTTTGATACTCGAGTCCGAAGATTCTGATTTCAACCCATACACTAAGGCGCTCCACATTACGAACCACGTCACGAAGCAAACGATTAATCTCCCGCCTCCAGATCTTAACATAATTAAATCCTTCCATTATAATAATTACGATATCGCGTACGCGCCCACTTCGATGGAGTATAAACTGGTCAACACGTATTACTCGTGGACCGAGATATCAAACTCGACGATATTACGTATATTTACCGTCGGAGTCGATGCACTATGGAGGTTTGTTTGTATCCGACACTTATCCGCAAGTGCATCCGAGCAACTCTTCCGATCGACTCCGTTTGTAACCGAAGGTTTTATTCATTGGGCCGACAGAAAAAGCAAACAAATTTTGACTCTGAACGTAGAGACTGAAGTTATAACAGAGACCCCTGTTCCTCAAACTATATTTAAAAATTATTATCTGTCGACGGGAACGAGTTCTCTATCTTTGCTCGTTTCCCGCGTCGATTCTTCCTCTTCGTTCGAGGTTTGGGAAATGAAGTCGGAAACCGGAGAATGGACGAAACTGTACGATTTTGATACGGAAGCTCTAAGGTGCGGATTCAAACGTTTGTGGCGTAAAAGGAATCATCGACCGTTAAAGCACGTACTAACGTGCTTTCCGAAAAGACGGATTTGCCCCCGCTTAAAGCTCGTCCCGGTTGGCTGGTTAAAATACAAAGAGGTGTTGGTGCTGAGCGGTTCTAGTGATACTATGGATTACGCTGCGTATAATATTCGTACGCGAGAAATTATCGACTTTTTTAGGTTGGATGATATTCGTGACTGCACGTTTCAACTTCATACGAATAGCCTCGTACGGTTGCCGATTCGGAACCAAGTTTAGTTCCCCTTGTGGAGAGTTGCTTTCATTTTTCTACCAATTTATTTATCATCATATACATTTTTGGTACATATATTTTCGTAATTTATAATTAAATACTTCGGAGAACAAGAGTATTTTATAATCTGTTTGTTTGCTATGTGCTGTTGAGCTCATTGTTGTTACTTTTTTTGGTTAATTACCAAAAACGCCCTTGAACTAAGCTTTAATTACAAAAAAATCCCGTCAGGTGTTCATAATTATAAGAGGGTATATTACACCTACACCTCTGAGGTATGCTAAAATAACTTTAAGATCCATGTGGTATTGGTAGTTACTGGCCCACACCCCTGAAACAATTATCGAAGCTAAGATTTTATATCTTGGGGACCGATATGCCCTATATTTTTTTTCCCGCGGGGCTTTAATGCTACCAAAGACGAAAATTTATAATCTTATGTAAAATAATAAGGATTTAATAAATGTTATAAGAGTCATGTCACCCCCTAACTCTATGTTGTCTCTATCACTGTTGTCTGAAACTAATAGTCCGTTAGAACCCTACTAACAATGTTTTAGGGAGTTGATTGTAATTACCAATACTTTAGGGACCTTAAAGTTATCTGAGCATACTTTAGGGGTGTAGGTGTAATTTAAAATACTAATAATGAAATAAAAAGCAAATCGCTCAACATAAATAATTGAAATTAAATAAGTATTTGATCGAAGGTAGAAATTTGAATAATCAGTTAATTTAATTTGAATAAAATAATTTGAATAATCAGTTAATTTTTTTTTTTCTTGTTCAGAATTATTACTCAAATAATTAGGGTTAACTTTGAAGAAAATGTGACTATTAATTATTTCGGGAGATGTAACTTGAAGAACAAGTC